AAATAAAAAAACAAATTATTTAATTAGATGATGTTTATTTTGTGTTGTAAAATATTTATTTACCTTTATAGAATTTAACTAAGTATTATTTTATTATAAAGCAAATATTAAATTATGATGTAAAATCCTTTTATTATTTTCTGTAAAAAAAAAAAATTACCTTCATTCATTTTTTTATTGGAAATTTGTTCTTTAACAGTAACAAAATAATTAGATACGTTTAAATTTCTACGAAATATTTTTTTTATCTCTTATTTTTAATTATAGGTTAGCATCATAAAATCCAAATAAATATTAGTAACAATCCTTTTAAAATTGGTTACATATGTTTTTGATATATATACAAAGAAAGTATTCCAAGCCCTATATCTCATTCTACTATGCAAACAAGATCCAATTTTTTCTCCAATTGTAATCCTTGTATAATAGATTAATATTAAGTAAGAAAATCCAAAATAAAAAAATCAGCTGAGAGGTTGATTTTCCTAGTCCAAATTCCATATAGTACTAGATTATTACTAAATAATCTCTGCTTGGAAGCCAGGTATATCATTATTATTGTTAATGTTTTTGTTGGCAATATATCTCACAAAATCTTTATCATAGGTAACAAGATAAGACATTGCAATACAAACAACAAAATTCAACGAAGGACTGAATACAGAATCCAAATTGAAAGGTTTAATTACATCAATAACCATATTGAAATTTAATAAAGTTGCAAAAAAAATTCTAGAAAAATTCCAGTATAAGACAGCTGAAAATATTGTAGCACTAGCACCAGTACTAGTGTTACCAAAATGGCTAATACTAAGACTTCTATTAGCTGAACCCATTATTGTAAATAATTGATACATAAACATTGATCAAGAAATCTGCTATAATCCAACCCCAAGTAACTATATTTGTTGAAAGGTTCGGATCACAATGGACAGGATGAATATTCGGTGTGGAAGTATTCAAAGTAATTGTTGGTTTTAATAGACCAATATGTACAATCTAAAAAAATCAAGCACATTGTTATTATTATATATGTATATATGTAAATATAAAATATTTATTAATTACTTGTAAGATCATTCTTATAGAAAATAAAATACAAGCACTCTGCTTGTCGAATTCCGTTTCATCAATATGTTTTATCTTCCATAATAAAAAAGCTGACAGAGAAACTATAGATCAGAATGATGATTGCATAAACGAAAGAGACAGTTTTACATGCTGACAGATTGACAAATGGTGGTAGTACAGAATAAATGAATTGGAGAGTGAGTCAAATTCCACCTGTAACGTTGAAAATGATTCTTGCAATATCAGGGATGTTTCTCGGTCTTTTTCATATTCTTAAAACTGAAATTATGGTATTGTGATAAAACACCTAACAACATTCAATGAAGGTTAAAAACTTGAGTGCGATTTTAAAACAAATAATTTTATTCAATAATTTACCATCGAAGCTATACCAAATATATGGGCCAGGTATAAAATTTTGTCATATTCTGATGACATTTTATTATATTATATATATATATGTCAATATAGAAAGAAATAAAAAATTTGTTGAATAAATGATGGTTTATCGACATATATATTGTTACCTATCACAACTATGTATTAATACAAATCAAACATTATTTGCAAGAAATCAAATCTTTGTTTTAACAAGAAAAAGGAAAAGACAACACGAAATTACCATGTAACACAATATTATTCCATTATGCTCTTATTTGACCTCTAATGAGCTTTAAAAACTTCAATAATAATATATATATAAGCCAACAAAATGTTAACAACTTTATTGCATATTATGATCAATGCAAAGAATATGCTGCTGTTCTTTTGTTCTTTGAAATCCCCTTCTTCCAAAGCATCAAATAAGTTTATTATTATTAAACTCATAATGACAAATTTTACATCAATTTCAATATGATCTTCTCTTATATATGCTATGTTTTTATTATCCTTTCACTTAAATTAATATATATAACCAACAACATAATCTATCATTAAAAAGTACAAAATAGCATAACTTTGCATTTTCTTCAATATGCCTTAATAACACATTAAAAAACACAAATCTTATCCATTTATTGGTTTCTTGTTGATAATCATGCCATTCTTGGTGAAATTGCTTTAATTATGTGAAGAATTTTTGGCAGAAGATTTATCAAATGAACCAAGTCCTTCAAAATCTTGAAACAATTATTTCTGAACAATTTAAATAAAACAATATTACTTTGTATTTGTATACTCATACTGATTTTTGTTATTTTCTAAATAATCGTAAATAATTTTTTAATACAATATAAACATATAACGAACTGTCATTACTTGAATTTTCAAGCTTTTATTTGCCATAAATATTATTTTTCTTAAGAAATCAGGGTTGAACGAAAAAGAGATTATTGATAAAAAATAATTTAATGTACATTATTTGGTGCGAAAGTTGTCAATAAGATGTTTGACTTGTACGTCAATTCAATATAAATTTTTGGGGTGTATTTGAACCCTTCAGGCTTTATATTCAAC